AGTGCTTGCAGAATGCAACGTCTATTGCCCACAAGATGCTGGTAGTAAAATCAGCCAATAGCGTTCAAGAGAACGCAAAGCATTTTGAGTGACCTACATGCAAATGATTCCCACGATGCCATTCGTAGCACTATTCTCACAATTTTACATTCGAGAAACAGCGGATTTCAAATTTCATTTCCCAAACGTTGATGCAACCGAATGCCGCCAATGGTGGACAACATATACACAAAATAAAGACTGGCCAATATGGGGATCGAACCCAGGACCTCGGCGTTATTAGCACCGCGCTCTAACCAACCGAGCTAACCGGCCATTACGTCATGCTAGAATTTCGATAATCGTGTTTTGAAAACAAATTCAATAGCACATTATCAAATTTCTGCGTTTCAAACTGGTTATTGAAAGCTGTTGTAACATAATTTGAAATACAGAGTTTTATTCTAACTAGTTCAAGGTCGCATAACTAAGTGCTTGCAGAATGCAACTTCTATTAACCACAAGATGTTGGTAGTAAAGTCAGCCAATAGCGTTGAAGAGAACGCAAAGCATTGTGAGTGACCTACATGCAGAGGATTCCCACGATGCCATTCGTCGCACTATTCTGTCCACCTTAATTGCATAGTTGTTATACAACATGGTTAACTTATATGAAGTTTTACCAAAGGTATTAGTTCTAATTAATATAGTCCTGTGTTATCTGCACTCGGTCTTTGTCTTTAAAACATTTCAATGATTTCGTTGAAATTTATAATTCTTTTCCAATTTAATCAGCTTATTTGAATATGCTACTGTCGATAATTCATTTGGTAGCGTAAGCATTGGCCTAGAATGCCAGTCACTAACGCATACTTCTGTAACTATTGGAGTCGTGATGCAATCAGTATTTTTCCGGTACAAGTTCCCATCTGCAAAGCACGTTTTGTTATCGGCACATTACTTGTTGGCTTTGAGGTCACGTGTTAAAGATGATAGGGCACAACAAATGAAAGTGGAAGTGAAAATCAAAAAGTGGGTTCAAATTGCAAATCAAACAACAAAGTGAAAATACAAAATCTAACGACTTGAGTATGAACTTTTTTTAGTTCAATGTCGAAATGCCGATCTGTCAGAGGGAATATAACATTGAGATACTCTTACTTCATAAAAATGACTCTCAACAAATGTGTATAGCACATTATTAAGTGTTCAAATACCAGTTTTGTATTTGTTGAATACAACGACATGTATTGACGTCACTACAACGCTATGATCTATGTTCGTCCTGTTTTTACTTTCGATTGCAGGAGTAACACAGTACAGGATCTTGCAGTGAACGGGAAATTGTTTATTGAAAAGGGAAAATTGTAAAAGTTGTGGTTTGTTTCCAAAGAGTTAATCATTCATATACAGGTTTATGGATACGTGGTATTTAAAGGGTGAAGTACACCACGTTCCCATGCTTTCAAAAGATAGATTATTAAAATAGTCCAACTGATTGAGACAGTCAAAGATTCATCAAAACTCAGATACTTTACAGAACTTACATCTCCGAATAATAGTCTTTATTTGAATAGACACCTGATTCACGTATGCTTTGTCAGATTACAATACGAGCGTTACTTTTACCCAAACATGTACAACATATACTGAACAACTGTCAGGTTTCATTTACCACAAATTAGCAATAGAGGGCGCTTGTCCACAAAAACATGACCTGTTTCTTTTGAAAGCATGTTAATAGGTCATATTAAGTTTTTCGTGTTTTGCCTTTATATCATCGTATATTCATATCATATGTAGATTGTGTAACCCATCTCACACATTGGAAATCTCGGCTGAATTTCAATTGCTTATTTGTGGTACATCTCGATGCAAAACTTTCAGATTTCACTGTTTGAATTTAGGTAAATTTGTGAATTCCACACACCCACAAGCAGGTGCATACAACTAACACTCAATTCAAATTAGCATACCAGCACACCAGTTATCAAGCAATCACGAGACATCGTTAAGAAAATTACGTAATACATGTTTATTCAGCTAAATTACACATTCACGCGTTATAAAAGTCGATATAAACACAAATAAATAACACCAAAATAGGGACAATTTTCATAGGTATCATGGAAAATCCTAAAGGTCTAGTGAACTTTGTAAACATTGCTATAGAGTTGTACATTTTTCTATGCAGTCATCTACTGTTTTGCAATAATAGAATCGCCAATCTGTCATGGGCTCTTTATCCACACTGAAGACAAATATGTATCAGTCAGTGAAAAACAAATGAAAATGTAATGATGCATACACATATCTGCTAATGGTGTATGGTGTTTGAAACACAATTTGGTCACTGTTAAGTTATTCATAACCACATGGACACGCCTATATGTCTATATTGGTCTTATGTTATTATCACATCAAAATCCTATAGTTTTTAATATATATGCATTCAAGTCTCATTACAATGCGTGATGTATTGTAGGTTAGCAGATATATAGACACTGATTATTTAGAAGGATATATTTGCACATAGTTTCTAACATATTATTTTTGCAGCAATTTGTGATGGTCACCGAAACAGGAAAATTACATATATTGATACGCTGTCTGAATGAGTCGATTGTTACGCAAGGGA